GAATTAAAACTATATATTATGAGAGATATTATTTGAATGAGATTCAAATAAAATTAATATGAATGAGATTCATATTAAAACTATAGGTTAAAAATAATGTGCATAAGATGTACATTAAAACTATAGGTTATACGAGAGAAATGTTTTAGAATATGATTCTAATTTTATAATAAATAATTAAGTGTTAATTATTTATGTATATATATATTTATTTAATTATTAATTGAATTAATAATTAATTATATTAATTAATTTGATTAATTAATTWTATATATATATTAATTATTATATATATATTATTATATATATATTTTAATTATTATTATATATATTATATATATATATTAATATTAATATTATTATTAATATTAACYCCCCTGCAAAATTGCAGGGGAGTGGGAGGAGTTGTGACGTGGGGAGTTACCCCACGTCACCCTTCTTCTTCCTGTCCAAGTGTTGGAGAAGCAGAAGTAGAAGTGTGTTACAGAACAGAACCAAGGTAGAGAAACTCCCCCAACTCTCTCTCAAAATTCTCTCAAACTCTCCCTCTCTTCTATCAAGGTGCTACCACGAGCACGATCCCGAGACCCAAGAGGATAGCGAGGAAGATCCGATGGTGGTGTTCGAGGGGAATTCATTGAAGAAACGATCTTCAAAGGTTTGAGTTTCCCCTGCATTTTTCTTATTCAATTTCGATTTTGTATCCCTAAAATCAGCAACGAAAGTCCGCTTCCGCTCCGGGATTCACATCCCTTCAAAAACACCCCACCCTAGGTTGTGGCAACTGTTTACTCCTCCTGAGCTGTCTTGTCGTATCTAAAATGGCTTCGAGGCGCCAACAACGGGAATATTACAGAACCATCTAAAGAGGGTTTGAAAAACGGGAAGTCACTCATTCAAACCTCCCGCCCTCTCCAGTCAGGCTGGCGAAGCGACTTCAATCCCCTTGAGCAGCTAGCGAGCATCCTTGCTTTCTTTGAAGCGTGCATTGGTCACATAGATGACTTCGTTAAGGAAAGCTGCTTGAAAAGTGCTCATCTCTTCACTCTCCTCCCTTCCCCTCTCTTTAGTGCTTGAGTTAGTTGATAGAGACCARTACTGTAGGAATAGGCCACTTCTTGGCAAGTTTGGAAGCTTTAGTGAGTCTTGTTTTGGACGGTAGAACGGGGAGCATACAGAATTATTGTCGTGAGGATTGAGCTGGCAAAAGAGATTCTCCTGCCCCGTCCCGAATAGACAAACAGGAACAAGCTGAAGAAAGGCGAGAGAGAGAGTTGATAC